CCCCCCCCCCAATAAAAAATTCCTGGATTCGCCTCTGATATTGCCGTGAGTCTGCTCAGTAACAGACGTCAAAAGAAGTCAAAATGTGTTGAGAAGATCAGTGATACACTCGGCTACACTTTTTGACGTTACTTGCGATCTATTATTGAACAAACGCCAGGCAACATGTAATCTTTTTGTGAATTATAAGCTGAGCTGAATCATTCACGCATTTTTTTAATTAGTTCTTAGGGCATACGAATAGATGACGTCACCACTAACCACATTTTGGTTCTTTGTTATAGAAGACAAACAGATTCCACGTTGCACAACCTCGTTCCCAGGGCCTTTTCCCTTAGCTAAGGGAAAAAGCCCAGGGAACAATGTTGCACGTTGCAGCGGGTCTGTTAAGTAAGAGATCACAGAAGAAAGACGTCAAAAGTTGGTAAGAATATCAGTAACACACTCGATTCCGCCTCGCCGTTGTGCCACTGCACAGTGTGACAAAATCCTACCTCGTTCCAAGGGTCTCTCATCTTTTTGCCCCTAGGGGCGAAAAGATGAGAGACCCTGGGAACGAGGTTGGACAAAATCCTCTCAGTGAAACTATTGTACTAACATCCTCTTCATCCAGAATTATTACAATTTATTCGATTTGTTTTGTTTGTCTGTTTGATTTTTTTTGTTTGTTTTTGTTTTGTTTTTGTTTTTCTTCCTTTTTATTTTAACTTTCACATTTTATTTGGAGTATGGAGTCATCAGATTTCTGGAAAATTGTTCAAGTTTTTCTTGACCTCGCACTTCGTGAGCCAAGAGAGGCAGGGATACAATGTGAAAGTCTTCGTACAAGTCTTGAATCTATAAAAAACAAATGAGAAAAAAGTTGAACTTGACTATTACTAGAAATACTACATTACGTTCGTTTGTTCATTCGGTCGTTGATCGGCCATAATTCGCTCGTTCCTTCATTCGTTTGTTAATTTGTTCATGAACGCGTTCCTCCTCGTACATTCGCTCGCTCGCTCTTTCTTCATTCCTTCCCGTACACTCGTTCGATCTCTAGCGTTGTTTAGATTGTGTTTTCATTCGCCCACTCTCGCTGGCAAAATCGATCCTTAATCCTATTTTGTTTATCACTTAGTTCTCTATTGTTACCCTGGTCGGTTGCTCGTTCTCTTCAGTAGTGGAGATTTGTAATAATTTACTACGACTTTTTTTTACCTGCTCAAGGTATTTATTCTGTACTTTATATCTGGCTTGGCATAACGCGCATGCTGTAAAAGAAGGAAAAAAGTCTTAGTTTTATTCAAAGTGGTGCGAAAATTGTCCATCGGATGGACTGTATGGCAGACATTAAGGAGAATTACTAATGTGATTTTGGGAGTGAAAGCGTTAAAACGGATTCTAAATGACGAACTTGAAATTTTAAGTGAATCCTTCAACTTGAACAAAACCGTCTCTAGTTCGTTTAAACTTGTGTGCTATCGATTTCAAAAAGGGGGGTTCACTTCCAAATTACACATTTCCATTTCGCAAACTAAAAATATCTATTTCGCAAAATTACAGATTTTCGTTTCGTTTCGTTTTGCAAATTGCAGTAAGCCATGTACGTGACGTATTTAACTTACGCGAAGCAAAAATGTTTTTCAGCCAGTTAAGCCATGGAGGGGAGATGGAAAGCAATTACCATTAGTGTGCCCTTATCAAAGCGAATGATCTAAAATCACCAGTACCTTTCTCTTTGTCGGGGAAAATCAGTTGGTTGACAATGATGTTGTGCGTGTCAATATCTGACTTGCTGAGCTCTTGAACTAATCTCTCTGTTTCATAAAGGGACAGAAACTCTGCTATACAAACGCATACGAACGTGGTGTGATCCTGAAAGAAAGTTTTCAAGTTAAAATCGGTTATTGGTCCATTGACTGTCAAAAGTAACGCGGTTTTTTTGCCGGTCCTTAGTGATGGGTCCTGAAAACTCGCACCCCCTTTCTCAGCCAATCGGATGCTAAGCTAAAACCAATTGCGACTTGGTCGCCCGCGTTTTCCCGCGCTTTAGGCAGTTAACTTGATTTTACTCTGAGTTTCCATTGGCTTCTGGTGAAATTTTCATTCGTTCTTGGTTTTGATTTTTCAACACTCTCGAAAACCTCTGTTAACAGGTAATAATAGAGTAGTTTTTCTCCTACCGGATTTTTAAACTGTTGACTGACTTGCTGTATCACAGGCAGAGTATCTTCTAACTTCTTGGTCATTTGATCTGCATTCATATCGTGTATACCAAGCAACGAGCCAAACTGAACAAGCAGAAAAAAAAACAAAAACACTGACTAAATTAAGTCAACTGTGTAAATTAGGTCAATTATGGCTTATCCTCAGCTAAAATCTCCTTATAATTTGAATATATCAACAAAGTTGAAATGGTAGATTGGCCACCCTTACGATAATAAAAGCTGACATTTCGAGCGTTAGCCCTTGGGCTAACGCTCGAAACGTCAGCTTTTATAATCGTAACGGTGGCCAATTTACCATTTCAACTTTGTTGATATATTCAAATTATTTCGTTACCCCCACCGACGCAGCCCCAAACAGTTTCTTTAGAAACTATCAGCCTTTAGTCATATGTAATTCATGGCTTATCCTCAGCTAAAATCTCCTTAGATTGTTCAGCAGACAGGAGATAGGAATTTACTCTTTAACTTCCGAGATCTGATTATCAATTCTCCTATCTAGCAGCTACATATTTCCTTGTAAATTAGTTACAAGAATTCGTTGCTAGATCAAGACAACAACTTCTACCTGATAAGTTTTTAGTATTCTCATTACCTATTTGCTGGATAATGTATGGATATTGTGGGGAAAAGTTGCATGTTTAAAACCTCTAGGAGCTAAGGATAAAAGTCTGCACTCAGGCCAAGTGGCCCATTAAACTGGACCTGATCCCTGTTTCCTTAGCATGAAGCAAGTAGGAACATCATTACCCCTCCCTGGATGGTATGTCAATCCATCACAATGTTAACCCCCCAGCTTTACATCAGGCTTAAGATAACTAGCAAGTTGGAAATTTGGACATGATATAAAACCATCTTTAAAAAAAAGGGTAGCCTTCAGAATTCACTTATGACTTTTCCCCAAACATCATTCCTAGTCGCCACTGATTGCACAATGTTAGTTTATCAATAAGCTTTAAATAACCTATTACAGCATAGGCATGCTTTTCCAGACGAGAGCTGTCATAAGCTAAGCCGTACCAAACATTTGGAGGCATGCATGGTTGTTTCAGTAAAATGATTAATCACTTGACAAGGATAGGGGTCACAAATAGCCATGGGTACCACCCTAAAGTTACCCCAATGGGCTACTCTGGGTGTGGTTATATGTTACTAGGAACATACCTGAGAGACAAATGGCCCAATACTGTTCTTCAGGGTTAAAATTTTTCCAAGAGATTTTTCAATGATTGATGGAAAAGCGAGTAGTCTAAGGGTGTGGCCTGTTGGAGCTGTGTCAAACACCACTACACTAAAATCCATCGTGTTAACTAGCCTGCATACAGAGAAAGTTGAAAAGTTTTACTTATACCTTATCATAATCATTTTTCATCACTGATCAATCAGCCACTGAGGCTTTTAAGAGGCAATGTATGGACCAGCCAGGGGTTTTTATTAAGGGTATCAGGGGTTCTTTCACATAAGGTATTTCTGGATCACAAGACAAGCATAACTTACCTCATCTTTCATTTATTTTAAGTTTTTGGTACCAAGACATGAATTGAGTGCTAACAGCAGTTTTAAGTGTTTGGTAATCAACTTTTTGCAAGTTAAGTATTGATATCTGGTAAGAAAAAAAGTAGGGTATATTGCTCTCCCATCATTCCTATGACACTTATTTTTTTTCTATTCTACATCAAATTATAATGACTCTTAACCATGTTTTCGCAACATTTGTGGTATTTTGCCCTTTTCTGAATTTTTTATCAAGTTCTATAATCAGCAGATAAAATGTCTGGCCGAGTAAAGAGGGACTGGGTGCCATGACGTCACAGTAGGAATCTTGTGGAGAGAAGAGTCAGGGGTATTCAAAAAACCCCAAACTACACATCGAAATGGCATTTTTTGTCTAAAACGATTGTAAACAGTAGCTTCCACACTCACTTTGCTTCTTTGATAAACTTGGTGTTACTACTGTTACGTCACGGGTTCCAGTGCTCTTTAATGCGGCCAAAGAGATATGGGGAGCCTAAGTTCGATACAATTTCAGACTTTTATCGCCTCGTAAAATAACAGACACATCAGAATCACCCACAAATCTTACCAGACACCCTCTACATACTTCTATTTTATAATTTAATGCTAAAAAAATAGGTGTCATAGAGACTTTAACCCTTTGGCCCTAAGAATGACTAACATCTAATTTCTCCGTACATTATAACCCCTGAATCACACATCAAGGTCATGAGAATAAAAGAAATGATCACCAACTAAAGAAGCTCTCAATTGTTAAACAAATTCTCCTTGTCAACACCTTAGGAAATGTATAGAGAACAGTATGGAGGATATACATACCAATGATAGGGTGTAAGGGGTTAATTACCCTTGGCCTCTTTTTCAAAATGAGGCCTGGTGCTCAACCATTCTTGTGAAAATGAGTTAAATTTGCATGTGAATGGAAACTTATTATCATATGAAAGGATGAGCACCAGGACTCGTTTTGAAAATCAGGCAAAGGGTAATTCGGAAATGGGCTATTGAGCTGAGTGTCAAACAAGAACAGATAAATACTTGGGAGAACTTGAAGAAATGGCAATCTGGGGAAATGCTTTTGTTAAAAACAGTTGAATCGACTTTTTATTGTGATCAAGCCATCAAGATGAAACCCTTGCATGTTGTGATTTAACTCATGAAGATGACAGCAATGTTGATAATGTTGATGACAAACCTCATAACCTCAGCAAAACTCATGGCTTCATCAATTCCAGGAAAGGCTCCTAAAAGCTCCTTTACCATACTTTTACCCATGGACATCAAGTCTACAAACAAAGTCACACAATAATGGCAAATTACTGTCGAACTACCATAGTCTACATCTGGGTTAAATGGCCTATCCAATGAAAGCTCATTTTCATAGCATGAGGCGAATAGGAGTAAAATAACTTGGCCAGGCCTTGAATCCAGACCAAGAGACCACTGCACTAACCAGTGGGCCACCAAACTACAACAAGGATGTCCTGAATACTTAAAAGCAACTTGAAATTCAAGCTACAGAGAAAAGAACACAAATCAAACAACCTACATTGACCATGTATATGAGACAGCTATATTGCAAAACAATAATTATACAAATTTTTCTTTGCAAATTTCAACAACAACAACAACAATAATAACAAATAACTACAATTGATAGGGATAATGATGATGATGATGAAAACAACAATAAGA